TACGGTAAAGACAGGCAAACAAGTCAACAACAAAATATCCTTGTGCATGCCTTTCATATCAGAAAGGGTGACTGCTGCGATTAAAGAATATATGATACAGGCACAGCTTGACGATGGTGTTGTTTTAGTGAACATACCACTAGAAAACATCAAAAGAACATTTAGTCCGCAACAGGTTGTATGATAAAGCCTGTACTCACGTGATTGCGTAGTCTGCCCATTCGGAGAACTTGAAGATTGCAAAATCTAGCATCATTTGTGAAATGAATGCATGAAGTGCTCCGCCATCTATATAGATGAGACCGGCCGACTATTAGGTGTACGGGTCAACGAAGCAAAAAGAGGCAAAGCATGGTAAGTCCACTAGGAAAGCATAGTATGGTATTAGGCTGTTGCAAAAATAATGTCCGTTTTTCTAGACCTATATTCCAAACAACCTTTTCCCCATCAGACTTTCTTTTTCGATATAGCGTCTGCATATCATTGGAAAGCTCTCTTCATGTACTTTCTTATGGCGGTGAAACTAAGCTGCTATCCTCACTTGTGAGAATTTCACCAGCATTTTACATCCGCACTCAAAATCAGAATCTCAAAGCTTCCTCTTTCTTAAACACAATTCAGGAACAAATAAACGAATTCTTCTGAAAACGTAGCAAGTGTATTGAATGAAGATTGTTTACCTACTGCGTGCTTATGTAGATTTTTGGAGAAATGTGGACTTCGAATTTGACGCGTCAAAATAGACACTCGCTGCTGGCATTCTATGGGTCAGGAATTTCTCATAATTAAGGCAATCGCCAAAGCTCCGCTCATTTCTGTAAGCTTGAAATTAGCACACCTTAACTACATTATTTGAAGAGAAACTTAGCTATTCAGTGCGCGAATAATTCCAAATTTTCATAATTAGGCACTTACAAGCCTACAACAAATAGGCTCAAAAGAGTGAACATTTTTAAATTTTTATCTTTTCTTTTTCGCAGAACTCCTTCGTTGGAGTTTTTTCTATACACCTATACTCCTATACTATTGGCCTACTACTACAAAATAAGCTAATTAGCAGACATAGGGACAAAGCTTGAAGGGAGTTGTAAGCTCTTGAAGACGAGATTTTCAAGAGAAAAACTTTCAGTTTGCTGACGCATGGTTTTCTTCCCGTTTGCGATATCAGTATGGGCAGGGGCGCGCTAAGTTAAGAAAGGTTTGATGTTTCTGATGGTCTTGACTGCATTCAAAAATATGGAGACAGAACGAAGTTATAGCCTTCCAAACTGAAAATTTGCAAAACGGGCATTATTTTTGCAACAACCTAATAGAACATGGCGGTGCTGATTATGGAGTCAAGTGCAAAGTTTTACTCTACGAACATCAAATTTCTGCGTGAAAGGCCTTAGAGGCAGCATACACTCTTGCCCGGAATCCGAAACTAAACGGCAAGAGTGGAAAATCATCTATTACGAGTGACCTACCACCGCATCTATCGTTTTGAGGACTATAAGACTGTTAACTCCTATTTAAGCAGCACTGTGTCATCTCGGTTGCTCATTTATCACATTTACTCAAAACAGTCGATTCATCTCGAATGGCTACGAGCTAAGGTGATATACTTGGTGGGTTAACACCTCCTGCCAAACTCTCTATTTCCGAATCGAGTGGGAGGAGATATTTGGCGACTGAGAACGTATATTATTGTGACTGACACCTTTTCAGCCTCTTAAGACGGTGTCCTGCAAAAATGTCAGGCAATATTGCATTACCTTCAGTAACCTGTACGGCATATCAAAATAATTGCATCTGGATTTTGTTTGTTTTTTTTTTCAGAACTATTCGAAGTCGCGAAAGATCTGTATTATCTCCGACCGGACATGGAACGACTGAATCCAAAACGGCAAGAGAAGAAGAGCTCAAAAAGGAGGAACTGATAATCTCCTATCTAGTTCGCGGCGAGGTGCGCGAGAATTTTCAGGATTGAGCACGAACAAACTATGCATATCAAAGTGCATATCTTTGGCGGGCGAGGGAATGAGCTGCGGACAATGCAATGTAAGTTCTCCTTTTCTCCTGGTTTTTTCCAGTAATATATATATATATACTTATATTTGTATTTAGGCCAGATGCATGTGGGCAGTGGGTACCCCATCTCCAACTTGCCAGGATCCCGCTGGAAGGGCGACCGCAATTGCTTCGAGGGTTGTGACTATTTAACCAGTTCACCTAATCCTACTCCTCTACCATTAATTCAATCAACTGTGTGCACCATCATCTCTTCGTGTTCGAAACAAGCTCGAGGACAAGCTTACTGAAGGAATGGAGATGTCGGGTCCCTTTTCATCAATCACCGCTCACTCATCCTGTCTCGAGTCTGGTTTACGTGAGACATCTCTCGGAGGAGGATCATGGAGCACGGCAGAGCGGACTACATCTTACAGATAGCTGGTCGCCTCCAGCCCCGTTTCTCATACCCCATGTCCCCACCCCCTGTATTGTGTAAAGTCTTTATTCAATAAATATCAATAATAGACATTGCACAACCATTCACCGCTACACACCTCAGGCAGGGGCCCAATCAACCCTTGCCCTGACAAGAAACGTGTCTTCAAATCTTCCTGCAGCGTTCAAATTTTTGACGACATGTTGAAAACCGAAAGTGGGTGGCTCCTATTAGAATTTCTATCTTTGGAGTCCCTTGTCGCAAAGAGCCGCGGAGATGTTATTAGAAAGTGATTTGATTTTTCTTTCTAACAAATTTTTTGTAAGCAAATACGTACGTGATTTACGCAACTAGAATAGGAAAAAAGATTGACTTAGTGACTGTTGCTTGTGCATGAAAAAGAAGGCAACCTTAATCACTCTCACTTACAGTGTACGACTCACTAGAATGTAAACTCATTTACTGTGTGAGAATCAGAAAATTTTTGCTTAGAAATTATCATTGTTCCTGTTTTGATTTCGGAATGACTTTTAAGTCTGTAATCAGGTGAGTACCTACCGAACAAACTGAGAATGTGAGCGACTTCTATGTATTGTCGAGGTGTAAGAGGTGCAGAAACACGCGACCGAATAAAACTATTCTAGATGTTTTCGATCTTTTTTGGTTTATTTGTAATAAATTCGTGAATGAGAACGGCTTCTGTCTGAATTATTCATACAAAAGGGTCAGTTTGGCTAGTGAGCAGCGAATAGGAGTCTTCATTTTTTCTATGCTTTAATAAAGTTTTTCTCATTAGTTTTTTGGGGAAAAATCTCACTACCATTAGTTCTTAAATTTAGATGAACAGTTTTGGAACTTGAAAACATAATGAAAAAGAAAAATCCAGGAGCAACTCAAGGTTCAAGAAACTACGGACCGTCTACAGAATACTGTAAGTGGGATAGCCCATTTATGTGCCACATTTGATGCGCTGAAGGGTAATTCATTATTATTATTATTATTATTATTATTTATTACATAGGATAATAACCTATGTTGACAATGTAAGCAAACAACAACAAAGAACACCAAAGAAAAAACAACTATTAATCACTCGGTAAAACAGAATAAAATGCAACAAGATTAATCAAGAGTCAGAGGAAGAAAATAGGCAGTTCTCGAGGACAAATTTGAAACGAGAAAGTTTTACGGGAAGCATTTTCATTCTGATGAGTTTATCAAGGTCGCGGGTAACTCTATTGACGAAGAAATTTCTTCTCACATTCCTCCTCGTTTTGACGAGCATGATTTTATTAGAATAACCTCTAGTTATTAAGTTCCTGCGCGCAATTTAGTTGCTGGGATTCACTTGACTGCCTCAGAATACTGTAAGTGGGATAGCCCATTTATGGGCCACATGTGATGCGCTGAGGGATAATTCAAAGGAGAAGGACTGCTAATGTAGGCCCAGTCCTTACAATGGCGGACAAATTAAAGGATCGTTTTGAGAAAATTTTTAAGGCGACCGACAGCATCACTCCGAATTGCAAAGGGTTGGTGAAATTGATTTTTTTTCCAGTCAATATCATTTTTCGTCACTTCGTTCCGAGCGAAATGTTAATCCCTACTTGTGGTTTCAACAAGCACGAGTAATTTGCTATAAGGTTGCCCGAAAATTTATGCAGATTCTTACGCTACTGCGACGGAGGACATAAAATTACCTTTAAAAAAACTTATCACTTTATAGTGCAGCATACAAATGTAGTTTGTAAAATAATTCGATCCAAGTGAAGTTTGGAAGCAAAGACTAGAAAATTTTAAAAGCTCAAGAATCGAATCATTATCCAAATCCATCCAGCCACCAACTCTGCACATGCTGTCTTTATCAAACCATACGTGAAGTTCAGCATTTTCGACTCTAAAAAATCGAGGACGGAGGATGGCATGCTCCCAATTGAACTGAACCTGTTTCCACATCAGTTCCATATTACAACCTTCGCAGCACAACATGAATATCTAGCCTTCCATAAGGTCTATTCAACAAAATACGTCAATTTTGGCATAAAAACTGGAAAGAATGTCCCCGTATTATTTGTTTCTTTCTCAATTTCTAGCCATAAAACGACGATACTCCATTCAAACAAGTTCCTCACCTCCATTATTACTACATTGAATCATGCCATCAAACATAACTGAAAGGAAAACAACTTATGCAAGCAATAACGTCACGAAGAGAGTTCCCCAGTACGAGAACTGCAGCATTCACTCCTTTTCGAATGTTTATGAAGATTAATCTGCATTTCCTCAGGAAAAAGCACTTTCCACATTTGATGCCAAAAATTCTAGCGAACTGTCATTTGATGAATATTACGGTGTGCTTTGTAAATTTGTTAGTCATACCGAAGAACAAGATTTTGCACTGCAGTGAACCGCACGAGGTAGGTTTTCGAGTAGATGTGGGTAATTATGAATGTGTTACCTGTCTCAAAACTATATGGCATATGAAAGTAGATATAAAAACTTTTAGCTTTATAGTTACAATAAGAGATAACATCGTCTGAAAATAACAAACAATTTATTGACAACAACAAACTTAAAACACCATGTTGTGAGGATACTGCCTCTTTCCCAACATGAAACGTGACCCCAAATAACCAAAGAGGAATTTGTGCTCTGGATGCTTCTTAATAGCGGCGAGGATTGGCTGATCAATAGCTTTCTGGTCAGTCTTACGTTGTTCGGTGACCTAAATCGGTTTTTGTGAGCAGGTAAAGGAGCTTAAGAAAGTGCTGTTAAATAAAAACAAAATTCGAAGGGCAGATGAATTCATGGAAATTGCAAGAACAGCAAATCAAAGAAAGAGGATGCAAAGGGAAAAACTTATTCTTAGTCTAGTAAAGAACCGTCAAATGTCAAAACTATGCATATTTGGATAAAAACCGCTGGCAAATTTTAACAAAACATACGAGAAAAATTGAGAATTAGAAAATGTGAAAGAAATAGAACTGTAATTAAGGAAACACAAACCTGATATTCGACCTTTCCTGCGGCGAAAATATTCTCTCCCTTCTTTCCACCAAGTGTCTTCCTCTTGAAGTAATCATCATTGATGTGGTCAGGGATTTTCACTCCGGACACGTCGACTTTGGTTTTGGTGGCGATAACAAAAGCCTGAGCGATTCTTCGCAGAGGGAAGTTGTTGAGTTTGTGTGGCCCTAAAAGCGCCAAAATGAACCGTTGCTAAGAACGAATGAAGGCGTAGAAACAATCCAAGGTGAGATGCAGACCCAACTAATATGATACAATATTGTAAACCGTGTCTATGAAACATCCACGAATGATAAGATCAACCCAAAACGTAGCAGCACAATAATGATTACGAAGTCGATAGCAAACCGTTTACTACGCTGCTAAAGCTTATTTGAAAAGAAGCACACAAATAGCTAATACTGTCACCAATATAACAACAGTCAGCAACCGTAGGATATAATAAAGCCACAAAAACTTCATATCATGCACACATTGGGTTGAAAGTAATAGTCCTTTTCAAGTAAGATCCCATAAATCCTAACGATGTCATCAAGCAAACAAGAAAGGCAGAAGAAGAAAACAACCAAGAAAAATTCGAAACCAAAAATAAGTTCTCAGATGCAAAGTGCTAAGAGTACCGACAGCTAAAAAATTATGTTATGATAAGAATACAAGGGAAAAAGTATGTCAGAAAAAGCACATTAAAAAAAGAATACATGGGAAAAAGTATGTCCGAAAAAGCACATTAAGAAAAGAGTTAGAGCAAAATTAATACTCACCGGTAACAAGAAGAAGACCAGACTTCTCGAGCTGCTTTAAGAACACTACGCGCTTTCCCTTATGACGGCCAGCAAGCACAATACAGACGGTACCCGGAGTGAGAGTCTTCCTGAGTGGGACCTTCTTGTGATGTCCAAGCTTGAATTTTGGCCCCGTTCGTTGGAGTGGGAGCATGAGGGGCTGAAAATGCACTACCCACTAGAGATAAGACAATGCTAGTTAAGAATGGAAGGAGAGCTAGACATTGAACAGAAAGCATGTCTGGCACTGAGGTGGGGTAGGCGAGCGTGAAGCAAGGCCTACCCGCATAAATGTGCCAAGTCATGTACGAGGCGCATCAGCACCTCGCATCCAAGAATGAACGGAAGAGACTCTGGCCTCGATAAAAACGAAAATAAATTGAAAGGACAAAAATAAAAACACTACAGTTTTGCAAACCTCTTCGGCTTTCTTGGAAAGCGGTCTCTTGGCTCCACGTCTCAAATACATGCGGGCAGCGGAGAACCGCGACACTGCGGGTGAGAGGTCGAAATTGCGACCAAGCAAAGGTACGTTTCTTCCACCCACCATTTGATACCTGAAGTAGGATGACATAATGGGAAGAGATAGAGAACGAGCATATGGCGCGCGAAAAGGTTTGACAAAGAAAATGTCAAAAGTTGCAGTGACTTTTTTTTACATGGATAGGTATCCCGAAGCAGCCTGAAGCGCTGTTTCTCCAAAATAGCCTTTCTTAGCTACAATACGAACCTGGGTCGGGAACTATGACCATATTAATCATCAAATTTTACACTGTTCAGAACATGCTTGATCACAAAAAGCAATCGAATGCTTGTTCAAGTATAACAGAATCAAAAGAAGAACAGACATACATTGAGCATTGATAAACTGTTTCATCTATGTTTGAGCTTGAAATAGATGGGCTTTGGTAGTTTTGGCTACCCTCAGCGCCGTATTACCCGCAAAAACTTCAATAACTCTCAAACCAGATTCGTTCAGCAGGCAATAATGGCTGTTTGGAATCAGCATGTCAAGCTGCTCAGACGATACTTATCTCGTGTACCACTGTGACTTTTAACACCTCCCTTGTAAGACAAATAAGCAAACGAAACTTTGAGAAAGCATCAATTTACGTTCCTCTACCTAAACACTTAAAAACATTGCAAAGATGTGAGAGTTACTAGTAATGACCAGAAACTGCTGCACAAAACCAGACACTCTTCCCTGGTGTCGGAAACAAGGAAACGATGGGTTTCTAACAAGCAATACAAAGTAGGAACGACTTTGGGGCTATGAAGTACCGCTCGCTAAGGAAATTGAATACAACACTAATCTTCTCTACAACGAACTTATGAGCATTCAAGAACAATGTTTATAGTTAATTGAAGATTGCTACGATTTACTAAGAAAGAGGTACAAAGCTATTGACTTGATATAGAAGCAATGAAGAGAAATGAGGAGTCACGACTTGCCTAGATGTCCTCGTAATTGAATGAACATCAAAGCGAGATTCATAGCTCCAAAGATTGGAATGAAGACTTCTCCTAGCGAAATTTACTGAATAAAAACTATCTGACTAAAGAAAAACTTAGAAAATGCATAAGAAAATTGCAAAATATTTAAAAGCGGTTTTGACTTCAGACGATTGCCTGAATATTCGACACCGTGCGCGCCGGGAACCAAGTTGCGAGAATCCTTCGACCCTTTGAAACACTCTCGCTTTTCAAAATGCTCGTGCTCGGCATGTTATCCTTGTGATGCAATACGTGTCCTTCCTTTTTGTACTGATAATTTCACAAAGTATGCATCTGTAGAGTGTTTTCTAGGCCAAAGCGATCTCGGATTGGCGGTACTAGCTCCTTTCAATGATTGGCAAAGGCGAAAGTCATGATCACGGAAAAAGATGTCGACACTAATTGCTTTACACCCAGAGATTATCAGGTATGCTCAGCAGCTTGTGTAAGATTGTGTGTTTGAAATTTAAAGAGTTTTTTCCACTATTAGAATTCAGCGGAGTTTTGCTACACTGTTCAAATATCGCGCTTCGGATATGTCCCCAGCATTACCAGTGTGCCAGCACCGTTCCAGCGCCGTGTTAGCTTCGTGCCGGAGCCTACATAGACTCACTGAGTTTCTGCCGATCGCCCGCACTGGCTTGGTTCCAGCACGGCACTGGCACGGTGCCGGCACGGCGACCTTTGGCGTGAGCAATCTGGACGCAGCCTTAATATCACGTGAGCAATCTGGACGCAGCCTTAATATCAGAGTCCTGGTTGCTCCTGTCAGAGGTAGTTCTAGTTTTCCCTCTAATCCAAGCCCAAATCATGAAAGGAACCTCAGTTGTTGGCAACCACGCCCATACAGTAGGAACGCGACGTTGTCGCGTTCCTGCTGTTCTGTCATAGACCATGTACGGTAACGCCATAAATGTGCGATAGTTTGGGGGGAACCTCAGTTTTGGTATTTTGGAGACGGAGTAACCCCACTATGACTGACATCAGCCCTTCGCGGATCGACTTTTCTGCTCCGCAAAATGACTGAATGAACTTGCAACCTCATTACTTTTTTTACTCGCTCTTTCTCGATTGCGTTCTCGCTAAGGCTTGAGATATACTTGACGATGGGTCGCTATAGCTGACGATAAGACGCTGCCAGCAGCAACGCCTTTTATGCGTATCGATTGACGCCATGCAACGCTGCTGCTTCTGGCTGCTGCAGCGAACGCGATACAGACCTGCTATAGCTGGCGATGCTGCGCTGCTCTGCGCTGCTGCTTGCTGCTCGTAGCTGCTCCTCGCTGCTACGCGATATGAAGCTCACTTTTGGTGAGCTTCTCTCAGCTGCTTCACGCTGCTAGCGCTGATTTTGCTCGGATTTGCCCGTTTTTAACATCCTTTTGAACTTCTGGAGGATTTTTAGAGCGCTTGTTGTGTTACTGAACTGTGACAAATTTGCAAGACCAAAACGCAAATGCTTCGATAGGAAAATTAACAGAGAATTGACAAAGTGAACGAGCAGATAAATATGAAAACCGCACAAAACTTTGGCGAAGAATCAAATTGGATTAACAAAAAATTAGAAAATTTACGATTTAGTGGGATGTTACCAGTACACCTCAATACATTAATGGCAGCTATGACCTAGGTCGTTCGGTTTTTGCCTCAAGCACAAATCAAGATTCTATTGCGACAGCGCTTAAATAATGGTAATGATTATTTTCTCAGTACTAGTGCAACATTTGGTTTGCAACTGTATGCTTCTTAGATTTGTTGATGAGAACAGGATGATTTTTTTGGAACATGTAATCATATTCTTCAGTTTTTGATAGTTCTCAATACTTACTTTCCTAATGGGCTAAGCTAAGCGTGATAATGGGTAAAGCTACTCGTTCTTGCACCCAAAGCGTACCCAGCGCAGCAGTCACGAGCAGCTAAAGGCAGCGCAGACATCAGCGATTCGCCAACACCCGCTATACCTCTATCGTCAGGTATATCTCAAGCCTAAGGGCGGGCTATAGTGCCAGTAAGCGGAACGCTCTTTCGAGAATAGGCTAAAATCGAACATACAATTGAGTCATAAGGACTGTTTTGATGAAATTGATCAATGAATTTTCAGACGATTTTCTGATGGGCAATTCATATTTTTGTGGCAGGCAAATCGTATGCCTAGAATAAGCTTATCATGATGAAGAAATATTGGAATTTAGTGTTATATGCAACAAGATTGATGTTGATCATAGGTTGAGCTTCTCGACAAAGCTTGTAAGCGCAATGTGATCGTGCAACTTGGAACTGGGGCTGGAAAGACGTTCATTGCCGTGCTACTGTTGAAGGAGTATGCTCTGCAAATACTGGCACCATATGAAAACGGAGGAAAGAGAGCGTTTTTCGTTGTTGACAAGGGTAAGCTAGCGGTTGGATTTATAAGTTCCCTAGCTTTTAACAACTTTATATTTTTTTATCATTTAGTTGCTCTCGTGGACCAACAAGCGGAGCACATCCAATGTCACACCACCTTAAATGTTGGAAAAATGCATGGTAATCTTAACAGCAATCTCTGGGACAAACAAGACGGGTTCGATGAGTTTATGTCTGTACATAATGTAAGTTCCTGGTTTGTAGTCACTTTTTGTTTCTCCGTCTCTTCAAATCATTTTTCAGGTAGTTGTGATTACTGCCCAAATTTTTCTGGACTTGATAGACCATGCATATTTCAATATAGCAAGATTAGCTTTAGTGATATTTGATGAATGCCACCATGCATTGGGTGTGAAGCATCCATATCGCGTCATCATGGATAGAATTTTGCGAGTACGGGAAGGTTGGACTTCATTTCCTCCCTCGTTTTGTCGCTATACATGGCACTAGCTTTTAGAAGATCGACCCAGGATTCTAGGACTAACTGCCTCCCTCATCAATGATAAAACCCCTCCTAAGCAACTAGAGGCTAAACTGTCGAAACTGGAGTGCGTGTTGAACAGCGCTATCGAAACTGCATCGGATTTGGTTGCGGTGAGCCCTGCACGAGAAATTTTCTGCGTTTCCATAAAATCTGTTCAAATAGTTTCGTTTTTAATCCATTTATAGCTTTCGAAGTATGGAGCGAAACCAAACGAGTTTGTTGTAGCATCTGCAGAATATGATCCCAATAATGCTTGCGGCCGCGAAATTTTGAGTATTTTGGTCAGTTCCCTTCTTTCTGTTGATAACAGCTGGTTGATGCCTCTCCTTTTAGGAGGATTATCGTAAGTTCTGCACCTCAACGCAAGAATTTGATCCGGATTTCGACATTGACCCTCGAAAACCAATTCAAGAAGCTCTAAATAGGACTCTAGCTGTGCTACGGCAAGTTGGTCCGTGGGCCGCTTGGAAAGTGTCGCAGATGTGGGAGAAGGAGTTGCACAAGCTTACTAAACAGACTTTTCTGCAAGAGAAGACGGTTGATTTTCTTGTCATGGGAGAAACGTGCATGACAACTGTCAGGAAGCTACTGGAGCCAAAGGTACGACCAAGATTAGTTCGGCCATTTGCTACAAGCATTTTCATTATAATTATTATTATTTTCATTTGTCATTTTTTACTCCGAAATATTGGAAAAAAATTTTGTTTTAGATCGCTGTGCTTTTTTTTGAATTTTTTCTCAGTCATAATTTTTATTTTTTCTGTTTTTGAGGGACATAAGAGAGGTCAGATCAGCCTGCTCAAATACGCTTTCAGATGAAGCCCATCAAAAATCTCGAAACGCTAATGCCTTACTTGCCGAATAAGGTTGTGAGGCTGATAGATATCCTATCCTTGTTCAATCCCGAACGGAGGACTCCTAAAGAGGTTGAAGAAGACCCACTGAGCGGCATCATCTTTGTAGACCAACGCTATGTCGCTTATACCCTCAACGTGAGTCACTTTTCGTTGGTTTTCTTTCTTCTTTAGACGCTTTTAGTTGTGCTGCAGGTGCTTTTGAAGCATATTTGTCGTTGGGAACCAAGTTTCAAGTTTATCCAGTCGGATTTTGTGATTGGATTCAGCGGCGGAAGCTTTGCTTCGGACGACAGCCAAAGTCTCCATAAACGGCAAGCGGATGTTCGTTATGTACTCACTCTCTTTACGTTGTTTGCAAATATGTCTACTTTACCCCCACCCCCTAGCTGTTTCCGCTTTCATCTTTGGATGTAATTGACAGTCTTATTTGAAGGTAATTCGGAAGTTTCGCCAAGGCGAGTTGAATCTGCTAGTCGCTACCAGTGTGCTAGAGGAGGGGGTGGATGTCAGACATTGCAATCTTGTCATAAAGTTCGATCGACCTATCGACTACCGATCCTACATCCAGGTATCTTACTCTTGCATTTTGAGCATGTCAGACTCCCTTTTCTTCTCTATTCGTTGGCATTTATGACATCGATTTAGTCTAAAGGCCGTGCCCGAAAGCGTGATGGTGGAGCTAAGTATTTCATACTTGTAGATGAGAGTGATAGCGCCAAATGCTCAGAAGATCTTCGAGATTTTGTCCAGATTGAAAAGGTGTGCTTACATTTCTGAGTTCGTACTTTCCATTTTTTCTCCAGATGCTGCTGCGACGATGTCGAAATGTTCACAACCCCACTGAAGCATCAGAAAACGAACCAGGTATAGCTGAAAACGTGGACTCCTTGATTCCTCCGTATGTTGTTCCATCTACTGGTGCTCAGGTCTCATTGTCATCAGCTATAGGATTAGTGAATAGGTAAGATCATGGTTTTTGTTAAGATCTAGCTAAATATTTTTCTTTATGGATGTTTAGATATTGTGCCAAACTGCCCTCTGATATCTTTACTCGCCTCGTACCTCAAAATCGTCTCATCGCCGTTAATTTTCATGGGGTCACTCTCTATAAAGCAGAGCTTTTGCTGCCAATCAACTCACCCATCAAGCAACCTATCACTCTAGAAACACCTATGGAAAGCAAAAAATTAGCTCAAATGGCTGTAGCGCTTGAGGTGTGGACGACTGTGTCATATATAATAGACTGTGCAGTCTCCTGTTGTGGCACTTAGCTCATTTTTAGGCTTGTCGTATTCTGCATCAAAGTGGCGAATTAAATGATCATCTGCTTCCTGTCGGACGAGAATCCATAGCAGAACTTCTTAATCAGCTTGATGAAGATCCTGACGAGTGGGCTCCTGGTTTATCAGCCAAAGTGGGCTCGGCAAGAAGGAAACAGCTATACGATAAAAGGGTGAGAAATTACAAATTACATGTTTACAAGTGTATTTTTTTCATTCGTATTTTTTGTCTTATCTGGTGCAATGCATCTAGCTAAATTTCTAAATGTTAACATATCAGTTTAGCATCCAGCATGTTAGCATTTCTAAGTATTAGCATTCCATTTTAGTTCTTTTCTGAAGGACTGCTCTTTCCAGGTAGCCACAGCTCTGCACGATGCTTTACCTGTCAAAGGAGAGCCATGTTACATCTACGTTATGGAGCTAGAACTTCTCAAAGAGCCGTCACCGGAATCAAATCCGAAACGACGTCGATTTGCCAATCCTCTCGATTACGAGTATCTGTTCGGTTTTCTCAGCTCAAAAGTTTTACCGAAAATCCCTCCATTTGCTGCATATCTACGTCAAGGCGACATGCGGGTACATCTAGTCAGAGCTTCTACTCAGGTATAGCTCACTGTATCAGTTTGTTTTTTTTTCTTCACGCAAGGTTTCAGGTTACACTTAATAGACAGAGCCTAACTATGATCAAACATTTTCACCATTATATCTTCAAAAATGTGCTACAATTATGCAAAGCTAATCTGGATTTCCACATGGATTCTTCCACACCCATCAACACACTCATAGTACCTTTACATAGAAGTAAGTTCACTTTGAAGATTACTCATCCCAGTGTTGCTCTATCTTCCTGTCCTATCAATGCGAGCCTGCTGTAAAATGTTAGAAATTCTAATCTCATTCAGTTGGTGATGTTTTAGCAGTATCCAGTGTGACCGATAAGTTCGAGTACAGTATAAATATGAAATATGTCGAAGAGGTCGTTAATATGATGGGAGATACGCCTAGAATTCCCGATGAAGAAGAGCGGAGGAATTTCAAGTTCAAGTACGTTCATTTTACTTGGTTGGAAGCTCTAACTCATGATTTCAGCCCTCAGGACTATAAAGATGCTGTCGTGATGCCCTGGTACAGAAATTTAGAACAACCCGTCTTCTACTATGTTGCTGAGGTTTATTTACTTCATCCAAAACTTTTGACTTGTTGCTTTTTATCAACTATTCTAGATCCTTGAAAATCTGACACCTTCATCACCGTTCCCAGATGAGGAGTACTCATCCTTCAACGAGTATTTTATCAAGAAGTACAATCTGGAGATTTACGATCAAACGCAACACTTATTGGATGTGGATTTCACTTCGAAGTGAGTTTTAACAGGGCTATTTTTCAAAATTTTCATTAGTTTTGGATCCTCTCCTTTCAGTGCAATAGTATGTGTGATCTCATATTGATCTCTCATGTATTTAATCAACAATTTCTAGCCGACTGAATTTGCTGCTACCTCGAGCTGGTGGTGGAAGGAGGAAAACTGCGTCTACAAAACCGGAAGACAACACGGCTTTATCGAGGCAGCGACAAATTTACGTCCCAGAACTGATGGATAAACACCCGATCTCGGCAACTTTATGGAACCTGATATCAGCGCTGCCAAGCTTCTTTTATCGGTGGGTCCCTGCTCTGCTTTTTTTGTTTATTTAACTTTTTTTTTGCAATTTTGCTTGACTTCTTTTACCTACACAACAATGGCAATTTTGAGCAATGAAGAGATTTTATATGTTGATGTTTCTGCCAAGAGGCGTGGTAGTGGGATGGTGAATTAGTAGCAAAAGACACATTGCAAGACTGTGTAATCAGCGTTGGTTATTCCAGCATCAACCACCTTCTTCTGGCAGACGAGCTTCGTCAGAGAATTTTGGTAGATGCGCTCCTACTACCAAATTCTCTGACGAAGCTCGATCTGCCAGAAGACGGTGGTTGATGCTGGAATAACCCAACGCTGATTACCCAGTCTTGCAATGTGTCTTTTGCTACTAATTCACCATCCCACTACCCACGCCTCTTGGCAGAAACATCAACCATATAAAACTCTCCTTCATTGCTCAAAATCGAGCAAGCGAGATTGCTGCAGGGAAAGTGACGAATCAGATTGAGGATGAAGTCTGTCCTTGCTTTCCCCATTTGATTTTTTCAAAAGTCATATTTCATTTGCTTGCAGAACACCTTCGAGGTAGGAGTTTGGGTACCAGTCGTGGTCGATCCGATAAATGATGAGAATATGCCTCCAGCTAACTATGCTGCTGGGGATTCTTTTGATACTGTGAGTGCATTTAGCTTCGTCGAGACCTGTGATTTTTATCTAATTAAGTTGATTTAAGGTTGGATTGATGTCTTCATCAGTGCGAGCCGGAGGAGACCTTTCTGATGACGAGGATGCGGATGCAGTGATGATGTTCGACTTCTCGAAGTATCTGGCTGAAAAAGCAGGTGCGGTCGTTTTCTGGTCAACCTAAAAGTAATTTGTTTTCGCCCTCTTCAAATCTTGTCTTCTTTCGACGGGTACTTGCAGTGTTCTTCAACTTTTTTCTTTTTTCTTTCTACATATTCTTTATATACTAAATTGAGCATTCCCGCATTCATACTAAATGCACATTTTCCTGTTGCAGGCGCTACGAAATCAAATTTTGCCACTCCCAGGCCCGATATACAAGCATGTGGATGGGGAGATCTGGATGAAGTTGTACCGGACACTCCTTTCGTATGTTAAATTACTTCTCCATTGTCTCACACTGAAGTTGCATTTCAGCAAATTCTTGGTTCATCATCGAATCAGATCGATATGAATAGCCTTATGGCTGATCTCCAAAGTCAGATATTGCCCCAACACCCGAATGCTTGGGCTCCCTCCGCGCCTGTTGTGAACACTAAGGTGGACACGCTTATAGAGTTTGACAGTGTTTCAACACCAACGAAGAAGCCAGCTGCCCCAGCGCAAACGATCAGTACCACCTTGCTGGAGCCAACAAAGGTAAGGGTGCTTTTAGTCCACAAGACTTTTTACGGTTATGATTTGTGCTGTGTAGTTGTATCTGGATAAGATGGAAATGTTGGAGGATCGTGAACGAGTCCAAAAGGAAGAAATTGTGGATTTGATGCAGTTTGACGATGAGAGTGAGTAGTAGTCGTTTTTTTGGCATCGTAAGTCCCTTCATAGTCACCCTCGAAGTTCGCTCCAGGTGAATCCGATTGCAAGACTGCGATAGAATACAATACGGACGAGGAGTACGAACAACTAAATGAAGGCGAACGTCAAAAGTTTGAACGAGATCATGCGCTACCCTCGAAGGGCCCATTGTCAGAGGTATCCTTCTACAAAAGTGATCACGGTGCCTTTCTGCGCTTATCTTACTCCGATATAGCGTGAGATGCTAGCTCCTAAACTACCAAGCAATCGTAATCGATTTTCGTTCGCAACACCATCGCCGTCGTCAAGTGCTATAGTGTTGAATCCGTTGTCTGCGCTCGAGTATCATTCGGAGACACTGGCTAAGGAGAACCCTTATGGAGTCTCACCACGCTTGTTGCTGACTGCTTTGACAACTTCGAATGCGAATGATGGTGAGCTTAGCTTATATTCTTGATGTTTTCACCTTGTAGTTGAGCTGAACGATGCTCTATGCTTCTGTAGGTATCAACCTGGAACGGCTTGAAACCATAGGAGATTCCTTCCTCAAGTACTCTGTAACCGATTATCTCTATCATTCACATCCGGACCAGCATGAGGGCAAGCTCTCATTTGCGAGGAGTAAGGAGGTGAGCGGTTGGTTTCCCTCATTAGCAGCACTTTTTTGGGAGAGCGGGGAAGGGGGGGGGGGGGAGGGAGCAGAAAGAGTAGCGGCTGAGTGTTTTCTACAGCGTTTTCGCCTCTGAAGCCTATAGAATGCTTTTTATATAAATGTTTGAAGGAGTTAGTTCTCCTATAACACTTTACGTTTAGGTATCCAACTGCAATCTGTATCGGTTGGGAAAGCGACTTGGCATTCCATCTCTAATTGTAGCTTCCAAATTTGATGTGTATGACTCTTGGCTGCCGCCTTGGTGCGTTTTGCGATCAGCGTTTGGGATGCACTTGTGAGGTGGCTATACTTCCAGCTACATGCCAAATAACGACTTCAAAGCTCCAAATTCGGAAGATGCGGAGGAAAGAGACAAATTCATCGAGGATGTGCTCATGGGCAACGAAACGGCACAGAAAGTAGTAAGTCCCAATAATTTGGTTGAAGTGCCTTTTCTGGGAGTTTTCTCGAGTTTAGCCAAAACCTGTTACTGGATGGGATCAAGCCGACATCAACAACGACGTGAGACAGCTGGAGAATGGCGTGGAGACTATCAATTTCGCAAAGGTGGGCCTATTTGGTTATCTTTTTTTTTTGCTTTCCGCCTTTTCTGTAAAGTCTTGTATAGTTCTACACGAGTTTAGCCATCTGCAAGCAGTGCAGCGCTTGATGAGCTGCCTCCGTTGCCGTACAATATGCTCACGCAACAATATATCAGCGACAAGTCTATAGCAGATGCAATTGAGGCGTTGATTGGAGCACATTTACTAACTCTGGGACCACGTCCTACGTTAAAGGTGAGTTTTTTGAAGCTTCTCTTCATTCCACCCTTTCCCGATAAAACTCATCGACAATTCAGGTAATGAAATGGCTTGGTCTGAAGGTGCTAACAGATGATGTGGTTCCCGTTGAACCGTTGTTAGGGTAGATATCATGAAGCTCCGTTATTGAAATATTTATAGAAGTCACATTCAGATTTGTCAATACTCCTGAGTGTCCTGATAAGGCTCAACGTTCGCTAGAGGATATGTGGCAGCAGTTCAACTTTAGCGTACTAGAAGGTAAAATTGGGTAAGTTGGTGGCCAACCTGTGCGTGACCTAGGGCACTATCTCTAAACTAGTCTTGGCTTAGAGAAAAGTTGCCAGTTTTTTGAAAATTTAATTTTTAATAACAATTATACAGACTACGGTTACCTGCATAAAATTTTGAATTTTTATCATTGAATTATTGCATGGACCGCTTTTTGTTCAAGGCTACTAGAGCTGTTCCAGGTATCGTTTCAAGAATAAGGCTTACCTCCTTCAAGCATTCACTCATGCTAGTTATTTTAAGAATAGGATTACGGGTTGCTATCAGGTAACAGTATCGGTTTGTTTTTCGTGCCATATTCTATTTTTTTTCCAGCGATTGGAATTCTTGGGTGATGCTGTGCTTGATTACATGATAACTCGGTATCTGTTCGAAGATGAGCGACAGTATAGTCCTGGTGTGTTGACAGATTTACGCTCTGCATTGGTGAACAATACGATCTTTGCTAGCCTGGCGGTGAAATATGATTTCCACAAGGTGAGTTTCTTATTTTGTGAACAATTTGGCTTGCCAGATTTTTTTTTATTGGCTCGGAGTAGTTGAAGCCGACAGATGTAAGCTATGTAAACGAACTACTCACACACGTTTCATGAGTTTTTGTTTTCAGCACTTCGTTTCTATGTGTCCCGGTCTCCACCATATGATTGAGAAGTTTGTCAAGTTGTGTACTGAAAGAAACTTCTTTGATGCCAACTTCAACTCAGAGGTGAAAAGTTTGCTTTGCCACTTTTAGCTTCAAATTCGTTAAGTCGAACAACTGCGATGAATTCTTGCTTTTTGGTAGTCTATGTTCAAAGATTATTGTTTCCCGTATGATATCGAGGATTTGGAAATTCATTTTCAGTCTAGCGGTATCACTATCCGAAACAATAACTTTTTGAATATTTTCTTAAAATTTTGTATTCCATCCGCGCATGCAGTTTCGTAATTTCCGTTTTCTTGATAATATAGCCCTCCAGGAAATTACAGTCCCCCTTTTTTCTAAGCATGTTACTGTGTTTTGGTGACCCGCCTTGTTGACAGACGTGCACCCTAGCTGCCACTGAATTAGTGAAGTGTTTATTTGATGCCAGGAAGAATACAGCGGGACTAGTTGTACAAATAAAGCCCTACTGTTTTCTTCCTAATCGAGTTAGTGTTTACGGCCAAAATATCATGTTATTCAAGATGTACATGGTGACGACCGAAGAGGAGATTGACGAAGGGCAAGAAGAAGATATCGAAGTACCAAAAGCGATGAGTGATATCTTTGAAAGTGTCGCTGGAGCAGTTTATTTGGTAGATACACTAAGGACCACGAACTGAAGGGAGTTCAAAATGTTGTATTTAGGATGCGAATCGTGATCTAGACGTTGTTTGGCGAGTGTTTTACAATCTGATGAGACAGACCATCGAAGAGTGTTGCGCTTATCCACCCCGATCACCTATAAGAGAACTTATGGAACTTGAGCCCGGAAAAACACGTTTTAGGTTCGTTGAGTCCTTTTTTGCCGAGGGTCAATGGTTAAATTATGCAGAGGCTACCTCGTCGACACTTTTTCTGATAAAAATTGAAACCTTATAAGTGACTACTTGTAGATCTTTTCGCAGACTCTTTTCTCTCTAGTAGTATCAGTGGATTTAGATGTCATTCAAAAAGATTTTGACTCCATGCTTTCAGCAAGATGGAGAGGATAATCGAAAGTGGAAAAGTAAGAGTGACAGTCGATATAGGAAACAAGATGAAATTTACGGGAATGGGCAGAAATTATCGCATCGCGAAGACGACAGCAGCTAAGAGAGCTCTGAAGTGAGTTGAAGTCAGGTTTTTTTTGCGGGTTACCTTTTTCTCTTTCCTAATGAAGCAAAATGACCCGGTTGCGAAATCAACACACATGCCTTAGCGCCAGAACTTGCGCACAAAAGGGGCGTTCCGGCTCTTTCCGGCGCTTTTGGGCTTTTTTGGGTTTTTTTTGGCGAGGTATGATAGGTCCCACACTCTTCTTTCTTTTGTCACAAATCAAGTCTCAAAAGGCAAATCAATTTGATTTTGAATTGTCTGCGGTGATTTTTGGAAAATATTTGACATTAGTAAACAGTTCAAAATGTAGACGACACACGGTTGTACAGACTTTCATTGTATTAATAGAGACCCAGAGGCGTTGCAAACGCTTTGCAGCATCGGCGCAGCCTGCAGTGCGCCAATCAACAGTAATTAACAAATGTAATTTAGATACCTAAAAAGTTTGGAGGAGCAGAAATTACGCGAAGCTGAACGCAATGCTAGCAACGGCAGCATCCTCGAGAATAATCAATAACGCGTTTTCTCTTTTATTTCTCTCAGTTTTCTTTCCATGAAATGTTTCAACCTCATTCTAGTCTTAAGCTAGTGCATATAAAACTACTTGTACGGAAAGTACGGTGATGAACGTGTAAAATGTATCTCTGGAATCTTAAGCCACACATCCTTTTTGGGTAATTCTATACTGCTGATTTCGATTGCACTGCTTTTCTCGTGAACGATGTTCATTTGTGATTTGTTAACCGTTTTGAGCGAAATTTCTGTTTTATGCATGCTTAGTGTTACGAGCAGTATTTGTTTTTGCAAGCTTTATGATATTTGAACTCGATTTCAATTGATAAATGTTATTTTAGAGCTTTCTTCTTTCTTTGTTGAAGAATAGGTTAATGAAACCAAATATGCTCAACTAACCTCCATTCTTCTGTTGAAATACTGGATGAACGATCTTCTCCTTCGCGGCGCGCTTGCAGCTGTTTGTGTATTTTCCGCAAAAAAATAGTCTACGCTCTGCCCTGAGTTGCGTTAGGCTCCAATTCTTCTGCTGTCAAGAAAGGTACCCGTATAAAAAATGAAGACCATGGGAATCACTCACTCATCCAAGTTTCCATGCAGATAGTATTGGAAGATAGCCGTTTTGCGTTCAACATGCTACCGTAATTTGATATGGTGCGTGAAGTAGAATGTTAAGAGTGTTCGAGGCAAGTCGCAGCTGGAACCGTGCACCTCAGTGAATTACGTTGCAGTCGAGTTAGTGGATACCATTATCATTACGCGAAAATGTAAAGGAATTGTGCAAAAGTGTACAGTAGATTCCAATCTAAGTGTCACAATCGGTGCGGCTTGGGTCCTCGCGAGCCGCCTCGCCTGGATCTGGGATCATCTCTCGCTGCGTTCGCCCTCAGCGAGTATGGTATTTAGACGCTTGAGGCGTGGGAGATATCGTATTCTTATGGCTGACGAGCTCATAAATTCCCAGACACGTTTGCGAACACTCAGATTGGAATTTTTGTAGCACGTGAGACAATTAAGCTGTTTTTTATCTATTTTTTTTTGTTTGGAGGAAATACGGCAGATAAGTGTTCCCTTTTTCGAAACTCGCGATAAGACTTGTACCTAGACGTTTCTAGACGAACTTCCACCGTATTGTTTCATATTTTCAGACTATTCAGATAAAGTTATTTCGAGCTGTGCTAGGGTGACGCAACGATATTTTGATTTTTGTGAGGATTGCGGTAATATACGGTATAAATGTGCAGAAAGGCTAACGCGTGCTGCTCCGCGAGTTGTCTTGGTCTCTACATTACTTACCGCCAGTCGCCAATATGGCGACTGTGCATTCTATGCGTATCGATCGCTAGCAAGTTACCACACGTCCAATCGATACACATTTAATGTGTAGCCGCCAACACTGGCGACTGGCGATCGCCAATATCGGCGACAAAAATCGCCGGTTCTACACGTATTTGATGCATATTGATCGTCGCCATGCTATACTCCTCGAGGAGTATAGCGCCTGCCTAAGGCTTGCCGCCAAGTAGTTAGCAGAGTTCATGAAGGGTCATGAACTGGTAGCAGCGCTAATTTGCACATAATTTGCACCGAAGACTAGCTGATTCTGCACACGCTAGCTTTGCCATCATCCTACGATGAAGCTGGGATTTTGTCGAAATTCGAATTCAAAGTTCAGTGGTCTATTCAGTTCAATTAGGACAAAATATTGTATTCAGGGGTATTCGAATATGATGCGCCTGAAACCCGAAATGTAATTTTTTCGATGTTATTTTTATTGTTACTCGATGTTACTTTTTTTGAAATTTTCGATAGAAATACAGTCTGCCCCAATCGGGATCAGGCCGAACCGACTCGTTTTTCGGTCTAAAATATCGCTGGAACAACATAGTTTAGTCGCATACTGTTTCGTTTTATCTTCCTCTACGTAGCAGAATTTCCATTTGTTTTCCAATTTTATTTGCAGTAAAGCTCGTGAAAAAAAGTTGAAATTCAATAGAAGAATGCAAAGGTTCCAAGCAAAACCACTATCATATTCGGAAACAGCGACTAAATTTCCTAAATACACATTTTACTTTATTTGATTGAAATCACTATTGAACTTTGAATTTAAATTTCGGTAAAATTCAGTCTTCATAAACGTAGGATAATGGCGGAGTTATCGTGTACATAATCAGCTCGTCTTCGAAATGTTTTCATATTAGGATGATGGGGGGGGGGGGGGAGTTACTGTGTGCATAATCAGCTCGTCTTCGGTGCAAGTCGGGTGCAGATTAGCATTACTGACAGTGCATGACTTCTCATGAACTCTGCTAACTACCCGGCGGCAAGCCTTTCGGGTTATGTAAGTTCCGTTCTCCACTGCCAGCAGTCCTCACGCACTTTGACTCAAAGGCTTCGTCATCGCGCCGCTGCCACGTCCGCAAATGCAGACGTTGCCTTATTTCACGAAATAGGTGCATATTGCTAACCCTGCGTTTGAAGCGACTACATTTATCATCCCTCATATTTGAAAGTGTTAGATAAGCTAATTGGTGTTTTGATATTTGGTCGCGCAAATCACTGCTAACGCTTTGCTGGCGATTCTAAGGCTAAAGGCATACAGTCGATGTCAATTACGTACTCCCTTTCGCATGGGATGTACGCATGCGCAACGCAAAGGTCCTGCGCGCGGACCTCCAATCGATGAGGCCCGTTTGAATCAGAGGTGCGATAGGTGGAGCCCAGCCCCCCCCCCCCTCCCCAAAAGTGAAGGTGGTTCCAGTCACCACCGGCCGGCCAAAAGTGAAGGTGGTAATGCCGGACACTCACCTCCCAAAAACGTCGACCGAGGGGGGGGGGGGGGGACTTCGGGTAACTGAAGAGCTCTCACCTAACGGCCCCCTTGAGGGCCAACAACTGTGACCTAACGGCCCTCTTTAGGGCCAGAAATACGATGAGTACAGCGGCATAAAAATAAAAAAATACGTGTTAGTCAAAAGGTCTATTTGTAAGTAAAACCCAGCTTGACTTTACGTATTTCAATAAGTAAATTTTGTTATAACATACTGCAAATAAAGTAGGTTGATCCAAGCAGTAACCAACGAGAACCAGAATTTTGAATAATAAAATAACGTAAAATCATGCAAAATTTCCACTGTAATAAATCTGGCGGTTGAAGATGTCAGCAATTGCGACTTCATAGGTTTTGAAGGGCAAGTGTTGTTCTACCAGATAGTGAAAGAATTAGGTCGATTTGAGCAGTGGCCGCCAAGAACGAGAATTTCAAAAAATTAAGCGATTTTAAGTGACTTAGTGACAGCTGACGTTTAGACTCCTATAAATCTAGAATGTAAACGTGTGCAATGTTGCGACTTCATAAGTTTTGTAGAGTAAGTTTTGCCTTATCAGATTATATCTTAGCCGTACCGATCCATTGAAACAGCGCCGAGATCCAGGCTCTTGAAAAAACAGGTAAAAAACCGCTTTTTGGAGTTCAACAGCTCATAACTTCTTAAGAATTGCATGATTCATGTTTCCACTTCATAGGTTGGATTCTCCTCTTCAAGAGCTTTCAGATGATATATTAGGTCGTCCCGAAAGTATTTTCGCTTTTTTCAAACAATCGCCACGGTCCGCAGAACAAACATCCTTAGAAGATTCTGGAAGCATTTGATGCAATTTTTTATGCTCTTTCAAATGGTTATCTTTACATTGCAGTTTAACAAACAAGCTCTTAGAAAATAACCAAAAACTGCGACCCACGCTTTTTACCAAGGTCAAGTTTCGCTATTTTTCTAAATTCTCGTACTAAATCTCCTAAGAAGCCCAAGTAACCTGCGGATAGAGCAAACCAAATAGGATACATTACAATTTCCGCCGCTTCCAAATCTTACTTCACAAAATTTCTAAAAATATTTTTTTGATACTATCAAATTCTATATTTCGTCAACTTGAACCTTATAGAGCATCACTCGGGAAGCAGCTCGGATGTTATTCGATGCAGCACCTTCTCCTCTTTCAAATACATGTTTTTTGTTTTTGATTCGTAAACTTTTAGAGGACAAAATCAACAAAATTCGTTTTTGATGGCGCCCCATGATGTACCCGAAAAATTCAAAATCTGATATTTCGAACCTGGAAACGCTCATTTGTCTTGTAAAATTAGTATTGAATTTTAATCTTTCTTTAAGAGTATCAAAAACTGAGAATTTCTAAGAGTTTTACGAGTCTTCGTCTGGTATGGGTCTGCTAAAATTCGATAGTGTTGTTTGGAATTTCGTCAAAAAATTATGGAGAGCTCTGGATAGGAGAAAGACATTGTTTTGTATCCTACTTGGTCTGCTCTATCCGCAGGTTACTTGGGCTTTTTCGGAGGATCAGTACAAGAATTTAGAAAAATAGCGAAACTTGACCTTGGTAAAAAGTGTGAGTCGCAGTTTTTGGTAATTTTCTGAGAGCTCGTTCGTTAAACTGCAATATAAAGACAACTGTCTGAAAGAGCATAAAAAACTGCAGCGAATGCTTCCAAGGTCTTCTAAGGATGTTTGTTCTGCGGACCGTGGCGATTGTTTGAAAAAAGCGAAAATACTTTCGGGACGACCTAATATATTATGTGGAGGGTTCAATGATTTTTGCGGCTCTAACCCAGGGTGGAGACTTTTCAGCCCAAAGTCTCCACCTCGCCCATGTTAATGTATTGGCTGGAGACCGCCAGTGGAGACTTTGGGGTGAAAAGACTCCACCCCCGAGCATATGCCGTGAGAGGTGCGAAACCCCCACATGTTATATATCCTCTGAAAGCTCTTGAAGAGGAGAATCCAACCTATGAAGTCGCAACATGACTCATGCAATTCTGGAGAAGTTATAAGCTGTTGAAGTTGAAAAAGCGGTTTTTTACCTGTTTCTTTAAGAGCCTGAATCTCGGCGGTATCTCAATGGATTGGTACGACTAAAACATATTCCGATAGAGAAATTCTTACTTTGTAAAACCTATGAAGTCGCAACATTGCACATCTTCACATTCCAGATTTATAGGAGTCTACACGTCAGCTGTCACTAAGTAACTTAAAATCGCTTAATTTTTTGAAATGCTCGTTCTTGGCGGCCACTGCTCAAGTCGACCTAATTCTTTCACTGTCTGGTAGAACAACACTTGCCCTTCAAAACCTATGAAGTCGCAATTGCTGATATCTTCAATCACCAGATTTGTAACAGTGGAAATTTCGCATAATTTTTCGCTATTTTATCATTCAAAATTCTGGTTCTCCGCGGTTACTGCCTAGACGACCTACATAGATACATGCTCTCAATACTTTCTTTTGCGTTTCTTTTGC